GGTTGCAAAGTAGGGAGGAACACCACACACACATGCACTATTCCTATGGATTCAGGAAGCCTACCTTTAACAAGGGAATTAGAGTTACAACCCATTACAGGAAATGCTACCATAAAGGTATAGCCAAGGTATAGCCAAATAATCCAAAGAAGAGAGTGACAGCAGCCAAGGAGAAGGCAGAGGAGTTTTGCTGAGACACATTCAACAAGCACTCAGTGGGTAGCTATCATTTGCCAAGCCTTGTGTCCATGCTATCGTTGGAGCAGTGTCAAGGACGCATTCTTACGTGGGACTTTAGGGTGAATGAGGACACTATAGGTAGAAAGGACATGTGGAAACCCTGGAGGTATGAAGCAGCAAAGGCAGGGAACCCAGGATGTGGAAGACATGTGTGGAGGAGAGAACAGGGAGGCAGATGGGGTTGGGGCCAGCGCATCTCAATGGGTTCTCTCAGCTGGGGCGCAAGACTGAGGCCACAGTCACACCCTAGGGTATGTGACTCGGAGTGGGACTGAGCTCCAGAGACTGTGCAGGTGAGTTACAGTGAATGGGTCTTGAGCTCTCCATGGGTGAGGCAGTGCAGCTGCAGCCAGTCCAGTGCCGGGGAGGTGTGGTGAGAACTGATCTCACTCATGGCTTCGAGAGGGGGAGTCAACAATTATGGGAGATGCAGGGTGGGTAGAATTTGTAGGATTAGGCCATCAACATTTGGGGATGGAAAAAGCAACGCAGTAGTACTCACGGAGAAACCTCATAGGGTGAGGACATTCGGCAGTCATTGCAAGGTTTCCTTGGCTTCCCATTGTGGAAATGGGAAGGTCCAGTCTATTCTTTTTTCCAGAAATGCAGCAGTTGACCATGGAGCTCCCACCTGGTTCTCAGAGTTCAGCCAAGGAGTGATGTATGCTAGGAGGTTCTCGGGGCAACAGGCAAGAAGAGCAGGGTCCAGACAAGGTTGACCACACCATGGACATGCTCATCTTCTCCATGCCCTGCTTTTCAAACTCCTTAACCTTCAATCCCATACCTTCCAAAGATGATGCCAATCTGACACATCAACTTTACCTCCCACCCTTGTCCCAAACATAGATTATTCTCCAAACAGACGTATCACTTTCCTACCTCCCTGCCTTGCCTTGGACTATTCAAACCATCCAAGAAACTTCCCTAGCCTCCAACATCACCTCCAGCTACTAGAAACCCAGCAGATATAATCCCTAGAAATAAAAGGTGTTCAGGAAACACAAGCTTGGCTCTTCTTCTCTGTATCTTGGGAAGTCTGGACAAACAGGAAAGATCCTTGTTCCCCAGATCATCCATATGGGAAATGTGCACCAGACTTAACAATTTTAACCAAGATTTCACATAATGGCAACGAGCTGAAGGCGTTAATGCCCCATATAGAAGTCAAGGTGCTGTAGGCAACCAGAAACCAATGTGGTGGGGGTACTAGAGGTTAGGGTTGACCAAGGCCTTCAGGGGCCCTGTAGCCACTTTTGTCCATGTCTCACTGAGAAGCTGTGCTTGATGGCTACAGAGCAGGAGGCTCTGAGGTCCCCTTCTGGGCAGGAATGGAGCCTGGGAAGGAGGTTTTGCTTGTATGTTTCCAGCTTGCTGCAGGCAATAAACTTGAATGGTTTATTTCGACTGGGGTCTTTCCTTGGGAGATCACACAAATGGTTTTTCCTTTCCCAGTACAGGATATTGAGAGCAAGAGAGCAGTAGAATTAAATATAGAAGCGAAAGTCATAGAGTCCAGAGTCCTAGGCCTGTCCTGCACCGCCGAGCTCTGTGGCTTAAGGCAAGTCTCAGTTTCCTCCGGTGTGAAATAGGCATACCAAATCACTCTCCTGAGTTACCAGTTGAGGAGGAGAGAGAGAAGTCACAGCTGGAAATGTGGTTGGTAAACAGCCTATCTATAGATCTGACTATCCCTGTTAGAGATACCCCATTCACAATTATCCAAATTCATGTGAAATTGCAAACTCTCCCTGCAATTCCTGTTGTAAAAAAACGTGCACATGTGTGTATAACACACATATAAATATACACACACATACACACATGCACATATCAGGGAGGTTTCTGCACAACCTCTGATGTTCTTGGGTTTCAACTGAAAAGTATCCAGCCCTCCAAATATCTCCCTGGGGACACGATCCGTAGAGGAGTAGGGTTGAGAGTTTTATCACTCTTCCTGTAGCAACCTAAATTTCCCTGGGTCTCTCCCAAGTCAAGTAAAACAGTCAGAATGAAGTGCTGGCTCAGCATTTCAGTTTCAGCAGGGACATATGCCAACATGATATGGATCAGGGACCCAGGGGAATTTTCAAACCAATAATGCAAATGAAAATAAAATAAGTTTGGGCAAGCAGCCTGCGATGTTAAGACGACGTTCAGCGCGAGAGCTACCTTCCCCTGAAAATATTGCCCCTAGAGGCACCTGTTGAAAAACCAAAAAATTGCTCTTCTGACTTAGCGATTTTAATCCTTGAGCTTGAAACCTACCAGATGCCAACCTATTTTCAGTGGGGTTTCTGCCAACCTTCCTTTGAATGCTCATTGCAGTGCCCCTCGTTTTTATCTCACTTTCCACCATATTTCCACGATTTCTATTCTACTTCCCTGGCGTATGTTTAAATGTCCTTTGCAGAAACGGTTGTTCTCTGTCTGTGATTTCTCAGCACTTTGGAACTTTTTCCAGATTGTAAAAATCTCAGGTTGCGCTCAAGCCCCATCTACCTTTCTGGTTCCAGCAATCACAAAGCTGGTTTTGTGAAGCAAGTGAGCAAAGACACATCAGTAGGCCATGAATATATTTAATTTAAAAGTAAACCTGGGAGGAAAGTTCCTCATGGCCTCGGAAGTGAGAAAATCCTGGGGGCCATAATGAGTGGCCCAACAAATACAGTCCAAGTGAAAAGAGAGTGGAGGGACTCTACTTGGCCCAAGAAGGAACCGGGCAGAAAAAGAAGTGTCCAGCAGAGAGGAGAGAAGGAAGCCATTTCTGCTCTTCCCAGGGAGCCACTGGATGACTTACAAGGACAGCAGGAGGACGTGAGAGGACTGAAATGAATTTCTCTTTGCTGGTTTTACATCAGAGGCAAGGGGGGATATCAGGAAGAACCACAGCCAAAGGGACAGGACAAAAACCCAAGGTGAGTTGCCTCTACCTGGCTAGTCCATGCAGTGTCAGGGTCACCTTGGGGGCAACACAGCCTTCCAGTGTGTGCTGGGTGTGCCCCTAGGGCACCGGGGCAGAAATACTTGGCCAAGCCCATCAAAAGTCTATGAAATTGGGCCTCCCTGGTGGCACAGGCGGTTGAGTGCAATGCTGTGAAGCTGTCCACAGCCTCTGCAGTGCGGGTTCCATCCAGGCTGGCCAGGGAGATACCCACATGGCGCAGCAGACCTCTCCTGTCTCTCCCGCTGTTCCCCTCAACAGTGTATTTCTGTCAGTCTGCCACTCTGTCTCTGATGAATCCTCTCACCCTCCTGCATATCTGGTGTGTTCCCGGGTTCTTGTATGCATGAACAAATAAATCTTAAAAAAAAAAATAAAAACAAGTAAATAATAAAATTTAAAAATAATAAATAAATACAAATAAATAAATAAATCTTTAAAAAAGTCTTTTTAAAAAGTCTATGAAATCACAGCCATTACTACCCATGCAAGACAGCTGTGAGTTTGGGGTACCTACCTGTTCTGGAATCACCCCAGCCCACCCCTCTAACTGCTTTCCTTCTCAGCTTGACAACAGGGCTGATAACAGCACCTTCTTCATCAGATTGTTTGAGGACTGAATAACAAATGGAAAATGCTTAGAATAATGCTTGAAAGTTGCTTTGGGCTCTTAGGGAAAAAAAGTGAGCCTCCATAACATACCTGTGCATCTTACCATCAAGACCTTAAAGAGCAACAATCTGAAAACTATGTGGGCAAGAAAAGTTGAAATACAAATGGATGTATATTCCAAGAACACTAGGAGGATTATGCAGCCATCCAGGTAACACAAGCCATCAAACAAAATTAGTGCAAATTCACTAATTAATTCAGGTGAGAGTATTTCATTGGCCTAAATTTTCTGGATAATTCTTCATTTTGCTTTGGAGATTCTTTGATCTCCTGTACATCTGGGTAACTGATGAAGGTGTCACTCCACCAGGGACTGACCTTCCTGTTATCCAGTTTCATCCCTTTTAGTTCCATTTCATTTCTTTTGGTTCCAGTCGGTTGCCTGGGGTAAGGGTTTCAGAACTGTTTAAGAGCAACTTTCTGTTTCCACCAGTCTTACCATTGAACCTCAGCGAGCTTCACTGTCGAGTATTTACTTTGCACATTATCCTGGCAAGAAGGTTGATGTCAAACTTTTAAAATATGATGGAAAAACTTTAAAATAGTCTTAGAAAAATGTCTTAGATCTTCTTGTCTTTTGCAATTTATCTTAAACCACGTGACTATATAAAAAACCTACCAGAAAGGGTCCACCCATTGGTCTGTTTCTATAGATAGAAATCATTTTGAACAAAAAAAGAGTTTAAAAATTCAACTTAAATGACTGGTGTTTGCCATGGAATATTACTCAGCATTCAAAAAAGATAAACACATGCAATTTGCAGCAACATGGATGGCGCTGGAAGGGATCATGCTCAGCGAAATAAGCCAGAAAGAAAGAAAAAATACCGGATGGTCTCACTCATAGCAGGAATCTAGAAAACCTAAATAAGGGACCAGGAAAAAGAGTAACTATAAGAAAGAAAAAAATCAAAGTCAACAAACAACTATGAACCAGAGACACACTTTGGGGGGTGGGAGGGAGGGGAGGGATTGGGGTCAAAATAAGGGGGTTGCAATTGTATGGGGAATATAAAAATAAAATTTTTTAAAAATGACAAAAAATAAATAAATGCTATAATAAAAAATAAATAAATAAAATAAATGACTGGTGTTTGAAAGACTCCGCTATATAACAAACCAACCTAAAACTTAGTAGCTTGAAGCAACAGCCTTTGTTTAGCTCACAGTTCTATGGGTGGGTTGGGAATCTTCTGCTCTTTGCTGGCTCCATCATTCTGCTGCCAGTCACTCCCTCGCATCTATACTCAGGTTAGAGGTGGGGGTGACTGGATGATGGAGAAGAGCTCTCTTTCATGTCTGGTAGTTGACTTGGCTGCCTGCTGGGGACCCTTGGCTCTCCTTTGACAGGTGAGTTCAGGCACATTTGCCAAGTCCAGAAAAAAGAGAGAAAACTTGAATGGGCAACCAACGTTCAAATCTCTGTTTGCTTCACATTTGCTAATACCCCAAGTTATTTGACTAATCAAGACTCAAGAGGTGAATAAATCAGCTCACCTCTTAATGGGATACCTGCAACATCACAAGGGAGTGGTAAGGGGGGCGTATTTGTGACCATATAACAATCTATTGTCATATAGTTTCCATGCGATTGACCTTGCTCGGTCTCCTTGGCACCCACTGGAGGAGCATCCATTTCTCTGGTAGTGATGAAGCCATGGAGGCCTGGAGAGGTGAAATAAAGTGCCACCAAGTCACTAACAAGGGGTAGAGCTGGGATTCAGAGTCAGTTCTGAATTGCTCTGAAACCTGCATTTCTAATCATTCTGCTTTGCACCCAAGCCCAGCCCTGGCTGCTTGCTGGCTGGTTGCTAATCTGAATTCAAGCCCTTTTTTCTCATGTAGGCAGCAGGCTCAGCCTGTGTTTATCAAATATTTTCAAAATATTTTGCAAAGATTATTTTCATTACCAGTTCAATAAAACCTCAAGCCCCAGATGTGGTTATTCAGGCTTGCTTCTCCTGAACTTTCTAGCCCCGAGGCACTTTATGGTAATACAACCTCAACTCCTCCAACTCCTAAGTGACATTCCTTCCCGCTTATAAACAGAAAGTATCTTCTTTTTTGAAGTCATAAAATTCTGCTGCAGGTTCCACCCTTGGAGGAGACAAGGCGCTGAAGCTGGGGCTCATGCCCAGCCCCAACTCGCCTTTCAAGACCAAGGGGGCGCTCGGGGCCACATCCTCTTTGCATATTGCAGAGCAGTGAAGAGGGCCCTTCAAGTTCAGACAAATTATGAACCACACAAAAATGAGACCAGACCCCCAGCGAGCAGTGCCTCCAAGCTAGTGCCCACCCCTGCAAAGATGAATTTTCTCTATTTCTCCTTTCTGCTGCTCCTCCTCCTTCCTCCCATGGCCTCCCCAACTTGCAGACCCCCCTTGGCTGTTCTCACCACCACCCTGCTTTTGATCAGGACTACCTGCTTCTCCTTTGCTTCTATTTCCATTTCTTACAATCCAAACATCCTCCCCTGTCCGCCCAGGCCTTTCTCTGACTGAGGGATGCCATGCGGGGTAGACATGGGCCTTCGGCTACAGTTTGAAAAGATGGAGGACCCATGAGGTGAATTAAATGCACTTGATGAATCTGGTGAACGCTTATTCTGAGGGAATAAAAACACATTATTTTTTACTTACATATATTCTAATTCTACTCTGAAGTTTCCCATTGAGGAGGAATGAATTTGTCTTCATTTGACAATTTTATGACCCAAATCAGCCAGCTCTGTCCATTTATCTGATTTAAAATGCAACCAAAGGACAGGACTGCTTTAATAGATATCCAAGCACGGTCAACTGCTTGCCATCCACATAGATTTTTCATAATATGTGAGTTTCTCAGCCTGGCTATCAAGGCCTCCTGGTTAAGCTTACCTCTTAAATGACCATTATTCAGCAAAGGCAAATGATTCCGTAATGAAAACAAGTGCTTGACTTTTTTTTTTCTTTTTAAAGATTTATTAAAGTTCCACCGAGGCTGTTTTTATAAAACCCAGCCCTTAGAGTGGCTGACCTTAAAAATGTGTTTATCTAAGCTATATTCCCCAAAACGTTGACCAACATGATAAATAATTTATTTAATGTTTCCTTAAATATTATTTTGTTTGGTTTAAACCCAAAGTAGAAACTTCTTCTCCCCAAAAGGGAACACTGTCTCATTTTTGTATACAATGGAAACATTTCGGGACAAATAAAAGAAATAGAAGCTTTTCCACAAATTTTGGCTTACTGAGTGAACACTGGTTGATCCAGGAGCTATGGAATAAATGTTATGACATTAGGGTGTTAAATTAGAAGCTGGGGCTTTGGTTGATGGTTATATGCTTACTTTGAGCATTTCCTTATGCTATTAAGAAAATACCTACAACTCAGCACCATCACTAGGGCACAAAGGGATAATCAATAGAAAAATTGCCCCCACCCAAACATTGAGCAACATGGGGGCTGTGTTTGCTTTGACAAAGGTTTTTTTCCCAGAGGTTTTGGTAAATCCAGAGCTTGGTTGCATTAGAATTACCCTTCAGAAGTTGCTAAAGTTCCCCACTTCCTCTGCAGAATCGTCCCTTGATTCAGGGGATGGGAATCTCAGATTTCCTACCCGCAAGTCACAGTGGACTCCGCGCGCCATCTGTGGGGTTCTGATTGGTCACGGTGCACGTGGGCTCAACCTGAGCTGCTAATAATCCTTGGGAATTTTTTAAATCAGAAACAGGAGGAGCAGGGGCCTCACAGTTGAAGTTGTGGAACTAGAAGCAAATCAAAGTTAACCAGAAAGAGGCCTAAGTACAGAAGAGGGAATAGAGGCCATTGAAGAAGCAGACCTGAGAGAGGTGATGATGTCTGACGAGGCCGAGTGAGCTCCCTAATCCTGACCTGACCAACGCCCCCTTCCTTACTCAGCTGGGATGAGTGTGGGCATGTCACCTCTAATCACCAAACGAGTGCCGACTCATCGATGAGTCAAGAATGAGACACACGTGGCCCTCGGGGATGTTTGTTTGTTTGCTGGCTTCTCCCTGGTTTGCTGTCATTGCCTATCTTAAATCCTAGCTTCAGAGCTGCCTATAATTCCACTCACCTTTTCTTTTTGGTGAATAGTTCTCTATGGTGACAGCATGGCAGGGTGCCGGGTCAGATTCTCCCAGGGAAGAACTTGATGAGTACATCCTATATAACAAGCAAGTCCCTAAAAGCATTCCTGCTGATCTCAGAACACATCTTTGGATTAACATGAAACGTGGGTGTGTGCTCAATGCCTGGGAATCCTGATACTCGAAAAACAATTATGAAACTAGTCTGAGAAGGATGATTTGGGGTCCAGGTAGAGACTAACTTGGCACCTTAAAACTTCCCCCCTGGATGATTGCTACTCGTATGTGATGTTCTATGCTTTACAGTCTCATTACAGCCCCCCCACGACCCCACGTAGTAGATACCATTACCATTTCATTTCACAGATAAGGAAGCACATTCACAATAGTTCAGAGATTTGCTCAACATCACACAGTTAGTGATTATAGAATATGGATGACATTCCAGGTCTATGGTATTCTACCCGCCCCCCAAATCCCAAACCCTAGTCACCCTGCTGGAAAGTTAAAAGCAGAGAGGGAAGCACAGAAGATACCAGCTCTACCACACAAGATTCAGGAGGGACTCCTGAGAAGAGTCACCAGTAAGCAACATGGAGGTGGAGGTAGACTGTTCCTGGCTGACATTCTGGTTCTAGTGCTTTCTTCCTATGTACTTTTGGACACTTTTTTTTTTTTTTTAAATCTCTCTAAGCCTCAGTTTCCACCACCATAAAGAAAACTAATAACACTTAGTAGAAAGTCTCCAAATACAATTCCCTATATGTGAAGGCAATGCCCTGCTCACATTAAGGGGAGCAGTCCACTGCCTTCTTCTTGAATGTGGCTGGCCTCAACCCTTGTTTAGGTCAATAAAATAGGAAGGGATGTTCTAGGAGGTCCAAGCTCAGGTCTTAAGTTTCTGTTGCTTCTCTCTCAGAACCCAGACTCTTAGCTTTAAGGAAATTCAGGCAACACTGGCAAATATTTAGAAGCCCTGGAACATAAGTGGCCATCTTAAATGTTTAAGCCCTGACCAAGTTCTGAGCAAAATGCAGCCTCAGGAGAAACTCTAACTAGAGTTAGAGTAGAAGGGGCCTCCCTGATGGCACAAGGGTTAAAGTCTCAGCACTGTCAAGCTATGGGCACCACTGCAGCATGAGTTCAATCCCCGGCCAGGGAGCTGACCCACATGGCACAGCAGACCTCTCCCATCTCGCCTACTACTCCTCTCAGCAGTGTGTTTTAGTAGATCCTGTTCTGCTCCCCACTCTCTGCTGAATCCTCTCACCCCCCCCCCACACCTCTGGCCTACACCCCAGTACTTGTATGCATAAATAAACAAAATTTTAAAAAAGAGAGCAGAAGAATCAACCCAGCTGAACCCCAGTCAAGGCCCAGAATTGTGAAATATTGTCATTTTAAGCTATTATGCTTTGGGGTGATTTGTTATACAGCAACTGATAACTAATCCTCACTAGATTATTGGGAGGATTAATCAGGCTAATGTATTCAGAAGCAAGAACACAGAGAACAGTGGTTGGCATTCACACATTGAGAATGTGTTTATTGGGAAACTACCTTCTGCCCAATACTGTTCAAGCAATTGGGTCTCTGCGGAGAGTAAAACAAAATCCTGCCCTCTTGGAACTTATGTTGCAAGAGGAGGGACAATAAACATGAAAAAAATAAATGATTTAATGTCAACTTCAGTGGTGAACTTGTTATTGTCTATGCTGATGTTGATTTATAATGATATACACTTGAAATCTATATATTATTATAAACCTATGTTACTGCAATCAATTTTTTTAAGGAGACTTGCTACATAGCAGCACTACCTTGCTGGTGCGTGCTGATGATTACCTTTGGTTCCTGTGCCCTCGTTGATCCCTTCAGACATTAGATGACAGTGGAGCAGAGGAGGAAGGTGGAACACTGGGCCTATTTCAGACAATGTGAGCAGCACGGACTCCACTGTGTGGGAGAGATGAAATGAGGAAGTAGGCCTTCCCCATACGCCCCAGGCTCGCTCCATTCCCTAGTGCATTTTCACACAAGAGCTCTCATAGGCAGACAGAGGTGTTGCTTATCAGGACCCTGTGTGGTTTAGGCAGTGGCTGACACCCAGTAGGTGCTCAGGAAACATTCATTGACTAATTACAAACACATGTCCTGAAAAGAAGCTACCAGACATCCCCCCTCCCTCCCTCCCTACACCACAATTAAAGTCACTGAGTGAACCAGCAGCCAGCAAAATGGCGACTTTCCTCAGCAGAAGACATGCAGTACATAGCCCAGACCCACAAAAAAATTGGTTGGTGATTTGCCTGTCATGTAACCCCAGGATTAGCCTGTGGAGGCCCTACCTTACTGGGGACCAGGGTCTGGGAGCAGCCACTCTCCACTCACACACACCTGGGTGGAAAATTCCATCACCATCACCAGAGGGCAGACACATACTGACTGCACTCTCTTGAGCTGCTCCACAGAGCCCACAGAGGGGCAGAAGCCAGAACTCCAGGGACCGGGACGGGAAACCTAGGAGGCTGGGGGGTTGCCCTGAGCTCTGTCCTTCACCAGCGGCCAGACTGCAAGTTCCTGAGAGGACTTGGGGGAAGGGAAGCTTCTCTAGAAGCTTCCCTTCCCCCATCTCCTCTCCCACTGGAAACATCCCAGTTTCTGTCACAAAAACCACATCTGATCTCAAAGAAAACACCTAGTTTGTGGCCAGCAGGGTGTGCTGCGCCCTTTACCCTTCCCACCCCTTCTTCTTTACTCTCCCCAGAACCAGATAGCAGTAGGGCGACCGGTCTTCCCAGGGGCCTCACATTCCACAGAGGCCCCAGTTCTCTGCTGCTCTGAGAGAAGGCCGAGTGCAGGCCTTCCGGGATGGAGTCCTCTCTCTCCCCCTCTCCCATTGCTCTCTCCCGCCTCTCCTCCAGCTGCTCCTGGTTCAAGCTGCTGCCTGCCCCGGCTAATAATGCCTTGTCACGCAGCGACAGAATTATGGTCTCACACTGGTTTCACATGTCACAAATAATTGCGCTCCTTGAGCATCATATTGAAGTTGTCAGGACTCTCTTACGCCTATAATTTGTGTGAGTTGATCATACTTTGGTAAATCAGCAGGTCACGACCTATGCCCTTTAGCCCCAGTGGCTGCCTGGGAACGACCTACAAATCTCGTGACAGGGACAACAGAGAGGGTATGAACTGCTCAATTGCTTGTGTCTATCAGCTGCCATGGCGAAGTGCTCCTTCCTTTCACCATCACTTTAAATGGACTCACGTGGTGGCCTGTGTCCTCCTGCCTTAATTTCTTCACATCTGTTCCCACCCCCCCCATTTTTGTTTTTTTGTTGTTTTTTTTTTAAGCACTTTTGGCTATTTCTACTTTTATTTTTTTTTTACCAAAGGACATTTTGGTGCCAAACCCAAGTGTCTTTCTTCCATGTGTTTTAAATAAAAACCTCCAGCGTCTGTGATCAAGCCAGCAGACCTCACTCTGTGTCTGGCCCCACTGAATAGTATCTCCCTCTTGCTCCAGCAATGGTTAAATTTCTCTGGCAGCTTTATGAGCTCCTTTGCTAACACTTTATTGGGTAACACGTTCACAAATAGTGTTCCTGAGCCTTTGTTTTCATTAAGGTACAACATGTACCATCAAGTTGCATTTAATTCACCGCTTCATATTTTATACACAGGATCACTGGCCGAGGCTTTGAGTATCTAAGGCTGGAAAGAGGGCAATGAAGCTGTAGCTGTGTTTATTACCTGAGATCGTCAATAATTGACTTCTAAAAAAAAAAGTCAGTAGAAGAGAAACAAGAGACCAGACAATGCTTTGCACCAACCTGGAAGGGAGGTCTAGAATAAGGAGGTTTTATGCGGGTCTGTCTCCAGGGAAGTCTGCTGAAGTGGGCGGCCAGAGAGTGGCACGCTGCCTTGTCTTGTTGGTTTAAGGACAAGAAGGAGACAATGTCAATGTGGACACGGCTGTCTTGTCCACCCTGGGGGCTAACCATTCTCTGGCAAGCTACCCGGCCCCTACAGAGATGCGCTGGTGGGCTTGCAGTTCTGAAGGCAGATGGCAACATGTAACTTCCCACACTGAGCCATCAGGGAGTTAGGGCACTGCCATCTGTTGGTGCCACAGCAGGTGTGCAGGCAACCGAAAAAGTGGAAGCAAACTCACATCCGTGAGAATGGCCCATATTTTTTTTTAAAAAAACTGGAAACAATAAATGCTGAAGAGGATGTGGAGGAAAAGGAACCCTTCTCACTGTTGGTGGGAATGCAAACTGGTCCAGCCACTGTGGAAAGCTGTGTGGAGTTTCCTTAAAATACTAAAAATGGATCTACTGTATGATCCAGCGATTTCACTACCAGGAATCTACCCAAAGGACACAAAAACACTAATTTGAAAGGAAACCTGCACTTCTAAGTTTGTTGCAGCATTATTTACAATAGCTAAGATATGGAAACAAACTAAATATCCCAAACAGATGACTGGCTCAAGAAGACGTGGTTTGCACACACAGTGGAATACTACTCAGTGATCAAAAAGATAAACGCATGTCGTTTGCAACAACATGGATGGATCTGGAAGGGATTATACTAAGTGAAATAAGTGAGAAGGAAAAAGAAACATCCTGAATGGTTCCATGCTTACAGGTAGAACTTGGGAAAACTGAACAAAAGGTGAGGAAAAAGACAAAACTTGCAAGCTGACCACAGATTTGAGGCAAACCGCAAGCGAGAGGGAGGACAGGGGTCAAAAGAGAGAAGGGAAGCACACAGAGACTATGGTGCTGGATCCCGGGTGATGTGGTGCTGGGAGAACTGTGGGGGCTACACTGCAGGGGAGAACAGTGATGAAAGAAAATAAAATTTAAAAATGAAAAGAAATGGAAAGCCACAGCCAAGCTCTCAGGCCACATGGTACAAGGCACATGCATGCCAGAAGGCGGCTACGGAAGGGACCTGAACCAAGGATCAGCAGCAGTGCACGCCAACAACACAGAGTCCCCATGGCAGACACAAAGCCAAGTTGATCCACGGTTTGGTCTCTCTATCCCTTACCTTGGTTGTCTGGCTCATAAGCACAGGCCCACGGTGCTCCTCAGCACTGGAAGGCATTTTCCTTTTGATAGGATTTGCAGACATCTAAGAGCCAGGTTGGGAGCGGGTGGGGTGGGTGAGGGCAGCGGAAATGAGGTGGGGAAGGAAGTGTCATGTCCAGGTTACAGCTGTTCACCTCCAAAGGCCCGATCTGCAAGGCAAGTTCAATGCAAATGTAGAGGGCTGTGGGTTCTAGGTTTGCTTCTCAGCAATCTGCTGAAAGAGTTTCATGGGAAAGGCAGCAGGAGACAGCACATCCTCTGGCCAGCCTGGCGACATTCCTAAATCTCTCAAATGCGTGGGTCTCAGTTTCCTTAGCTGCAAAGTTTTGTACCATAGTAGGCCTTGAGGATATCTGAATTTTTCCTCAGTTCAGATGTTCATTTGTGGGCAATGTAGCTTAGTGATTAACTTAAGCAGAAAAGGGATTTCTAAGGCTGATATCAGGTGATTCATAGAGTCTACAGGAAGATGAAAAACTAGGATGAAAATGAGCTGGAACCAAGGGGCAACCAGAGAGCAAATGACAGAGAGGAGGTCCTACCTGGGGCATGGATGGGCACAGTAGCCCCTGTGCCCAGACAGGGGCACCACCACCACTGGCCATTTGCTGCCGCCACTATTCCATCCTTCTCGATAATCTTTTGCTTTGCCCTCTCCAGATTTAATGGCCCAGGCAGCACCTTTGAGTGGCTAACCACAGGTCCATGGCCATGAGGATGGGAAGAAAAACAGATTCCTTGGGAGACTATCGCCATGACTCGGTAATATTCTTAGCCTGGCTTCTCTTCATTCTCATTCTCAGCCTCTCTATGGGGCTGGAGAAAAGAGATCCGACCTCTTCCCCATATAAATAATGCATTTGTGGGCTTCCTTCACAACAAAAGAGGGGAGGAAATATGCCTCCAAACAACCTGACTCATTTGTCAGAGTGCGCATGACATTGTTCAGAATGGACACCCACACATCTCTAATTTCTGTGAAGCTGGGTCCACACTAGCTCATGGAGTGATCATGGGACATCTCCAGAAGAAGAGTGGAGCTATGGCTTCCCCCGGAACAGTTCCCCTGGAACTAAGTGCAAAGTCACTTTTGACTTCCTGTAGAGGCAGGACAGGACACAGTGCAGGTTTTCTGATCCCATGCAGACCGGGTAAAGGAGGAGTCAGAGTCCTTAGTGGGTTTTTGCAGGTCTTTTATTGGGGTTCACCAGGCATATGGCAGGCAGGAGTGCTGGCTGGGAGGCTGGGAGGCTGGTAGGCCTCCCAGCCCCCAGCAAGTCTTCACTCTATCTGAGCTCTCTGGAGTTCGTTCTGCTGCTTCTCGGCTTCTCTTTCAGCTTCTGCTTCGGCTTCTACTGCTGCTGCTGGCGTCCCCGTGACGCCGCCCTTAAAAAGCACAGTCTTAGCTCAGCTGAATCCCATCTACCTATGCCCACACCCCATTCCAGGTGCCCGCCATCAGGCATGCATTCAGGACAAGGATCCATCATCTATCCTGATGGCGGGAGGCCAGAAAAGCCTGATATTTTCTTTACCCTACACTTCCCCATCTGTCAGGAGTGAGACAAAACTTTAGAGTGTCCTGGCTGGCCAAGCAAGATGGCGACCCAGCCAAATCCATGGATGAGAGAAGCATCTGGAAGATTCAGCTGCACACACCATTATTGAGTTTTACTCTGGGCACTAGGCAGAGTGCTTTTGCGGCATGATTTTACTTACCAGCGAAAATACATCAATGAGATATTTAATACTATGCCCATTTCACAGATGGGGAAATCAAGATCCAAAGGTGAAGTGTGTGTGTGGGGGGGATGACAGAGATATGGAGCTTAAGCTAAATCTCGACTTCAAAGCAGAGCATGACCACAGATGTCTCTGGGTGGTGGTGCCATACAAAAAACACCCAGGGATCTCCAGGCTCAAGATCATAGGTATTTAAGAAATGCCTGATAATCCCATAATCTTAAATCCATGTAGTTTGGACTGAAGGATAAAGAGACAAAACGCTGAAGAATATTTTATGATCTGGAAACTTTCAGTTCCTTTAATATGAAAGTGCTCGGCATGGAGTATTAAAGAGGTAAGGATTCAGAGGTTGCAGGAGGCCAAAGAAGATTAAGAGTGTTTTTCCCCAAATGAAGTGCACAGTGTGTCCATTAGGGAGCGTGGAGATTTCCCCGCCCCTCCCCCACCCTCTCCACTTAACAGGGAAAATGCTGAAAACTTTGAAGAAATGTGTTCTTTGTTCTTTAAGTTCCATGATTAATTAGGTATAAGCCATTTTTCAAAACGTTTCGTCATTTATTTGTAATTCTCCCCAGAGCGTGTACAGTAACTTGGCTCAGAACACACAGATTACATTGCAAATGCTACTCATTTGCTGGAACTTTTTATATTTCCTTCCCTTCACTTCTCTGCTTTCCCTTGCAATACTGGAGCATAGAAAAACATTGGATTTCAATCCTAGAGCACACCCTGTCTGCGTGGATCTCTGTGGCCTATCAGTCACCCCCAAAAGAGACACTGCTAGAAACACGGGGTGGCAGCCTCACACTTGGATGGAAACTCTGGGTTGCTCCAGCTCCAAGTCAAGCAAAGATGTGCATTTGTTTAAAGACTTATCTCTCTCTCCCTCTCCACCATGCCCTGGTTCCCTGGAGAAAGCCCCAAATATAAACTAGGGAGAAATGTGGTGTGGGGTAAACATATGGGGTCACTGCAAGGATCTGGATCAACTTTGGGAGTTTCATTTTTCTTATCTGTAAAATAGAGATAACAAGAGCCTCTGAGCCCCATGCCATCAACCCCAGGT